GCTGTTCAAGGTCGAGCGCGTCTTCCTGGACACCCGCAAGCGGAAACGGCGGACGAGCCTGGAGACGAGCGTGCGCGGCGCCCTGGAGTCCTACTTCGCCGGCTGCCCCAAGCCCAACGCCCAGGAGATGACCCGCATCGCCGACGACCTCGGGCTGGAGCGCGACGTATGTAGCGGTGGCGGCGGCGGTGCCCCCTCCTCCTCCTCCTGTGCGTGTTCGGCGGGGCGGGGTGGGGCATGATGGGATGTCGGGAGCGTGCGCGCTGTCCCCTGCGCCGCCGGTGCATGATGGGCTGTCTCTCTCTCTCTCCCCCCGCAGGTGGTGCGAGTGTGGTTCTGCAATCGGCGGCAGAAGGGCAAGCGCCTGTTGATGCCCTTCGAGGAGGAGGACGGGCTGGAGGGGCAGCCCTTCGAGCAGAGCCCCCCCATGCCCCTGGGGATGGGGTCCCTCCCTGGCGGGGGGTACCCTGGGGTCACGCTGCCTGCGGGCTCCCACCTCTACATGGCCCCCTTCCCCGGTCCGGACGCCCTGAAGCAGGGCCTGCACCCTGGGCTGGCCTTGCGGGTGGGGAACCTTTCTAGCTAGGCTTCCCCAACCCCCCCCCGACACCAGACTCCTGTGTACCCCCACCCCCATCCCTTGGAGGAGCTTGGCGGACAGCAGCTGACCTCGAACCCTGCTCCTCCTGCAGACCTCGCCTGCGATGGAGAACCTCCTGGGAGTCTCCCGACTTGCTGGATTGTCACACCCCTTGACTGAATTCCATTTCGACAGGAAGCCCGTGTCCTGGGGGCGGCAGACCCCCGTGTGGACTGTTTTCCAGGCACAGGGCTGTGTTTTAATTTTTTTTAATGATAAAAACAAAGGAACCGGTCAGTTAAGTTCCTGTTTTTTAAGCTGATGTGGATAGAGCCTGTGACCTCGGGGGGCGCCCTCAGATCGTCTGCAGTGCTGCTGCCCAGTTTGTGGTGCAGTTTCGTCTCCCCCAAGAGCATGAAGTGGGAGTGGGAGACGTCAAGCCCAGTTGTAAAACGGCCCTCTTTGCTGGGTGCAGGGCTTGCCTCCGAGCCCCGTCTGTGAGCCCTGGAGGGCTGGGAAGCGCAGGCCGGAGACGCTCCTCGTGTCCGGGGGGCTACCTGCCCAGCCGGACCGGGGTTGCTGGACAATGTCCTGGGGGGGCAGGGGAGGGGGGGAGACATTGTGCACTGTTTCTCTCTGCTCCCCCAGCCCCCCCCCCGAGCCGCTCTGCGTCAGCCTGTGAGACCCCACCCCCCCAGCCAGCCAGTGGCACCGACAGAGCACGAGGGGGCTGTTTTTAAAAGGTCTTGGAGTGGGGGTGGGTCCCGGGACACAAGCTCCCTCTCTGTGGGCTGGAGCGCCTTGTGTGAGCTGTGATGGGTCAGCCTGAACGTTGGCCTGATCGTCACTGGATCTCTAGTCAGTCAAGCTGGTGCCTTAAAACACCTCTGTCCTGCCCTGCAGTGTTGAGTTTCTGAGGGGGGGGCAAATTGATGTTTTCCTATGTGCCCCTGGGTGATTCTGTCATTGGCGTCGTACCCAGCCTGTGGGACTGCTGACTTGTTCAATGGGTTAATTATTGTACTGATCGACTGGAGCTCTGCTGTGTGCCGATTGGGGAAAGTCTGAGGTTTGGCCAGTCTCTTAATTTTTATTTTTTTTGCCGCGAGAAGATTTTGGGTTCGCTGAACCAGTTCCTGGCCTGTTTGTTGTGTTTTTTTGCCCTGCTGGCACCCGAGAATGGCCGTCTGCTCGGCCCACCACCCCACCCCCCCTTGAGCAGCGGCGAGGCAGGGTTACAGGACCTGGGCGCCACACAGGGAAGAGCAGCAGGAAGCGCGATGTGTGCCGCCCGTGGAGAACTGTTTCCCGAACTGCGGCGGCCTACCGGCGTGGGAGTGATCCAGTGGGCGGGGTTGCGAGGCGGTCTGTCCTGCCCCCACAGCGCAGCTCCTGTGCCTTTCTGCTCGGCCATCACAGGTGCCTGCCTTACCCAGCTCTCTGGACTTGGTCACGATTCCCCGTGTTGTCTTCATATGTTATAATTTATTAAATGCTGTCCACAATCTTATACGTTTTTTTTTT